TTTTGTAATATATTTTAACACTGAACACAAAATAGAGACTTTCAAGTAACCTTTTGAACTATGTGGATATTGCTAACAGTGGGCATGTAATATACTGTCTGGTTTTCTCTCTCCTTTCCAGTAAAATCCCCAGGACAGCCCATACAAGTAGTATATGTACCATCCCATCTCTATCACATGGTTTTTGAACTTTTCAAGGTTTGTGCAGTAGAATCATTCTTTCACAACATTTTTTATTAAAAGAGTGTCTTCAGCATTTTTTTTAATGGCAACTTGAAACTCTACCAGGAATTGTGAGGCTTCAAAAACACAAAGGCTAGGGATAGACATTATACATAAATTGGTTTAAGTGATCAGAAATTGGTTTAAACCTGTAATAGAACAGACATTCAGTACACATAAACCAGTTAGAAAATGGCTGAAACCAGTTTGAGATAAACCTGGCTGAATGCAGCATCAGACATAACTGATTTGGGTCAAACTAGTTTATGTAGTGTCTGTCCCAGACACCTTGCTAGTTTAAGTTAAATCAGAGTCCCACGGTATCCTGGCATGCTCTCTGGGCTGGGCAGGGCTCTCTGCTTCACAACAGGGCTGGCCCCTCCCCTGTGTTCCCTGACTGCAGCTCTGGCAGAGACTGCAGGTACAGCAGGGTTTGCCTGGCTTCCCCATGGGGCCTGCCTCCCCCCCAAACCCCCCATTCGCTGCTTAAGCAGAGATCCCTTCCTCCTCTCTCCCACAGCATGGACCGTAGCCAGCATATGGTATGCTACCTAATGCTGAGAGGTGTGTGTGTGTGTGTGTGTTTCCAGTTTTACTAGCAGGCAGACAGGGCAGTGTCTGCTTAGGGCTTTTTGGAGCTAATCAACAAGTCAGCTGGTAATGTCCCTGCATTCCTTCCTTTGGAAAAAGCTATTTAAGAAGAGCTTCAACTAATGAGTAAGGCTTTGTTTTCTCATGGGGTGCTAAATGCTGATGACCGAGCTGATAAATGCTCTGTTATCAAGTGGTGTGCGGGTGGGGCTCCCATATCAGAGCATCCTGCCCTGGGGCTGGGCCACGCCCTCCTCAGCTCAGCACCGAGGAAGGGAAAGGAGGGCTGCTCTAGTGTGCCCCGGCTTCAAGCCCAAGACACTGCAGGCATGTGCTTGCATTTTTTCAGTCCATAGGGGATGTCTGTGTGGTTACAAACTGGTTTAGCCTAGTCAAGTTAAACGAATCTGCAAAGATTGCGTCAATTCAGGCTCAGGCTTTTTGAGTGTCTGCTCCTAGCCAAGAAGTATCATACAGGGCCAGACCATGGTCCCTTTAGCTCAGTATCCTATCTCCGGCAGTAGCAGGAGTGCATGCTTTAGAGGGAGAGCATTGAACGAGATATGTCTGGAGATATCTATATATCCTCTATTCATTACCCTCCCTGGCTTCCACAATTATTGCTATTTAGAAATGCCAAAGGAATCATCTGCAATTGTTCTGATGTTTATTATCAGCTATGATATCCTACTTTCATATTTAATTGAGTCCTCCAACAAATCAAGTAGCTAAATGTCTAAATCGGTGGCTTTCAGGTTTTCCTGACTCAAAGCACCCTTCAGAAAATGAGACCTCTTAGTTTTCACTCCTTTCTGGACAACAGAAAAGGAATCAAACAATTCTTTATTGCAAAGAACTCAGACTAGAACAGGTTCGAATGTTTTTGACACCCTGACATCCTGGTTGAGAACCATAGGTCTTAAAGTTTACACAAACACTGCATATAAAATTTCAAGATTTGAAAAATGTGTTTCTTGTCTTTCTCATCAGTACAGAAAAACATACCAGGATTTCTTTATTAGGCCATAGCTCTTCAATTTTTTTTTTCTAATGTATTGACTCTATGCATGCTATATTCTAACTGAACAAGCAAAGCAATTAAGATCTAAAACTATACTTTTTAAATATATTTGTGGACCACTAACTTTCTTTTTTTAATCCACTGTAGAAATAATAAAATTATGGTGTTACAAGTGACTGACATGTAAACTGATTTTTTTTTTTTTTGGTTGGGCTACTTAAAATGACTTTCTGCTAGTACCTGAACTCCAGTGCTTAATTAATCTTAAGAGAGGATGCTTGTTAAGATTCAGTTTCTCTCACCTTAAAATAAGGCAAAAGTACTTACAGTATCTCTCTCCCAATAAAACTTCTAGTAAACCTGTGGAAGACTGGGGTAAAGGAAAATGGTAAACCCCCCCCCTTGTTTTTTTTTTAATATGATAGGATGTTTTTATTATTATAGTTTAAAATGTTACCAGGAAGCAAAAATGGAAAACGATTGCTTTCTTACTTTCCCAGTCATATAGAGCATATTTAAGCTGGGAAAATTGTATAGCAGGTAGCGTTGTGCGAAATTTCACTGGGTGTTTCGTTTTGAAGCTGTTCCGATGCGTTTCGAGCTCGAAACAGCTATATCAAAATGAAACAAAAGCCTTCGAAACAGCTTTGAAATGAAACAAGGGCACTCAAAATTATTTCAAAAGTTTTGAAACATTTCAAGTTTTGAAGCTGAGCTTACTTGTCTTTAGTCCTGGTCCCAGCTGGCAGCAGCAGCTTCCTGTCATCTGGCAGGCAGGTCGGGCACCTGCACCCCCGGGAGGAGTCCGGCACAGCCCCCACAGCCCTCCCAGGGGTGTGGGTGGGCCCCCAATCTTCCTGCAGAATGACAGGAGGCTGCTGCTGCCAGCTGGGACTGGTGCTGGGCGCAGCCTGCACCCAGCAGCGGGAAGATTGGTGCTGCCCCTAATCTTCCCAGTACTTGGCACGGGCTGTGCCCAGTGCTGGTCCCAGCTGGCAGCAGCAGCCTCCTGTCATCCGGCAGGCAGATCAGGGGCCCGCACCCCCAGGAGGAGTCCAGCACAGCACTGCAGCCCTCCCGGGGGTGTGGGCAGACCCTCGATCTGCCTGCTGGATGATAGGAGGCTGCCACTACCAGCAAGTGACAGGAGTTTTGCTTGTTAACACCTTGAGGTGCAGTTTCCCAGAAACCTCTGTACCCATTTCCTTGAAACTTGGCAGGCTTCGTGCCCTCAGAAGGGGCTACCATCCCTGCAAGTTTCATATGAATCAGGCAAGAAATGACAAAGTTTTAGGCATTTTCATGATTCCTCATTATAGTCTATGGGTGAAACATTGAAACAGCGTTAAAACAGCAAAACAATTTTGACAAAACAAAACAGAACAGCGCTTTCGAAACAAAACTTGAAACAAAACACTGTTCCGTCGCAACAGAAGTTGATGCGGAATGGTGCCGTTTCGCACAGCCCTAGTGGCAGATGCTACGTGGACTTCGGAGTTTTTCCAATCCTGGAGTTTTCTTGAGCAGTCCGTATCATACTGAGTTGTTTGGAGCTTTGCAAAGAAATTTCAAAGTTTAAAAAGGAAACCTCTGGATTGCTTGACTAAACCTTCACCATTTGTATAATGTTAAGCATTCTAAAGCCTTTTAAAATACTTGTTTCAGAAGTCTGCTCTATGAATGAACTACGTAAACAGTGATAGTTTAAACAAGTACTTATTATCCCAGTACCTAGGTGCCTCCTGTTTTTGGAAACTACCAACCTACAAATGCATTCTAATGAAACTATTCCTAACTGTAGATCCATTTACCTTCAAAGTTAAAGTAAAAACTACTTACGCTCAATTTAAAATATTTCTCAGAATGCAATGAGAGCCACGATGGAGCACAATGCTGATCGATGTATTTATCCTCCAGTTCATGTACATGTTACGCTGGGAAATGAAGATTTAACTGTGAAGGTAACCACTTTTGAGGGAAAATAGTTATTTTCTGACCGGGGGGGGAGCTCAGATTAGGGTTTCAGGTCACCAATGAGTGAGACTATCAAGGATTTTGTGAAAGAGAGATAATGTGAATGTGATAATTCTTGTGTGAAAGAGGGAGATAATGAATGCAATATTACTTTATCTTTTGTTTTGTGGTTAGGGTGTACATCAGTGCTCAGCAACCTATGGCCTGTGGAGCCATTGTTGGATCTGGCCCAGGGAGCTGGAGCTTTGGCAGCAGAAGCTTTCCCTATGCCTTGGTGGGGAGAAGCAGTGACAACGGGAGGTTACCCTATGCCAGCGATTCTCAACCTTTTTTGTATCAGGACCTATTTGTAAACACTGGCCAGTCCTGACCCATTGCCCCTCCTGACCTCAGCCCCTCAGTGTGTGGGGCAGGGGATGGAGATGTAGACTTAGAATTTACCTGGTGTAATAAAAATGCATCTTCCAATTTGTATCAATAGTTACAATTCCTAGTAGACTGCAAGTCCATGGACCATCTTTTTCTAGAGGTGATATCTAAATATTTGTTTCTAGAGATGCAAATAATTTTTTTCTGAGGTACAGAATGAAGTGGGAGGTAGGCTTACTGAAGATCTCTGAGTTAAGGTAAAAGGGAGAAATAGCACATGTGATCAGTGGCAGAACATGGCTGGGTACCAAGCACAGCTGCTGCATAGAGGCAGCAGCAACTTCTGATTGGTGCAGATGGAGAAATCGGGGGAAGCTTTTTTGATTTGCTGCTTACTAATTGGGAAGAACTGGTTGAAAAATGAAGGTGAAAAGCAGTCTGAGTGAAATGACGAAATTCATGATTCAAGGGAAGGAAGGACGGCTGCAGAATAAAACATCAGATTTGTCTGTAGACTTCTTTTCAACTCTATTCTTTGTGAAAATTGGGTAACATTGTGCGTGAGTGTGCATGTGCGCAGGAACAATGCTAACAATGTTTACTTATGTTCTAGATGAGTGATCGTGGTGGTGGCGTTCCTGTGAGAAAGATTGACAGACTGTTCAACTATATGTATTCAACTGCACCACATCCTCGAGTTGAGACATCAAGAGCAACACCCCTGGTCTGTATGTGTGTTTGTGTATATTTTATGCTTATTATGAGAGTATATGCGTGATAATCTGGCAATCTAGTGTTAAAGATTAATTGAAATGTTCTTCTGAGAACAAACAGGAAAATTATGTAAAAATCTTAAAAGCAGCAACAGAATATATAATAATATGAAATAGGAAACACACCATTGAACTTTTTTTGTTCTTCCAAATTTGAACAAATTACACATGCAGAGCAGAACATGGAGGTTCCTTGTATCACTGTAAGATTTGTTTACCGTCTGTTTTGGAAGTGTAGCACTCCGATCTTTTGATTCTGACCCCTGGGTAGATTACAGAATTAATTTAGGAATGTTTCTGTGTTTTAAGTCTCCTGCCTTGAAGTGTACTTTTGTCATTTTGTTTGAAATAAATGATATCCTGAAAAAGAAAGAAAGTGTGTAGATTATGGTAGTGTTTTTAAGTTGAACCCCATCATTAGATTCCATACTTGGAAAATTTATAAATTTGTAATAATTTTTCATGCATAGAATCTAATTATTGGAAGGGTCTTCTTAAATTCAACCCTCATCACTGAGGCAGGGAAAGCAGCAGTAGGTGGGGAGACAGTGGGGGAGTCAAGCAGCCAAACCCTCACCCCTTGCTGTCTGTGACCCCCTGCATCTTTCCCTTCCTGCCCCCCTCCCCCCATCACTGTTTATCTTCAGGTAGGACTCTGATCCTGGTGCAACCTGGGGCACAGAACACGTTGGCTAAGGGGCGGGCAATTATTTTGAGCAGAGGGCTGCTTACTGAGTTTTGGCAAGCCATCGAGGGCTGCATGACAGGCAACCCAGGACAGATTAATATTTATTTTCTAACTTTTTTAGGGGCCCCACGGGCTGGATAGAATGGCTTGGTGGGCCGCATCCGGCCTGTGGGCTGCAATTTGCCCACCCCGTGTTAGCTATAGTTCCTGCTCAGCCATGCAGCAGTGGTTTCAGTGGCAGCAGCTGCAGCTTTGGCCCAAGGACCAGGTTGGAGCTGCTGCTGCTGATGCATGACCAGGTGGAGCCTGAAACCAGCATGCTCTCTGGGGCCAGAGCCCCGATTTGAGAGGTAAACAGTGGTGAGGAGAAGGGAGGGGGGTGTTTGGGGCTGCAACTGTGCCTCCCCCCCCCATGTACTCAAGTCTCAGATGGGCTTTTTCACTCATGTCAAATGGGGAGGGGGAAATCTTGGATTCAATTAAATATGAAATTTAAGGAGATTGACTCTGGCGATCTCATCTGTTACAGGTGATCATAAAACATCTATTGGTTAAGTCCCTTATTTCAAGATTAGTGGCATCCCAGGGTACAGGTATAGAGGAGGAATCTGCTATTTGATAGGGATATACAGCCATGCTGCAGATCTGTTCTCAAAGGGGTATCTGCAGGCTGCTTGGTGTGAAGCAGAATGTTCCTTGTGGTACTATTTCCTTTTTCTTGGTTAACTGCAAGTGATTTGAAAAGTTCACACCTTTTCATTTAGAACCAGCTGGTGGAAATTGGGGTGCACATTATATGCCAGAAATATCTATCCCTATAGATCTAGAAATATGGCAGCAGAGCAGAGGTGGTAGCAGTAATTGTGGCTCTGGGAGACCAGGAGGCGGCTCCAGGAGCTGCAGCAATTAATGCTGTCATTGCTCCCGTCACCAAATTTCTGGACCTGTGGGGGGAGCTGCTTAGACAGATAACATGGCCCTGCATACTGGTGCACAGGGGCAGTCCATGGCTGGACCTGGTGTGCAAGGTTAGTCTGTGGGCCGCATCTGACATGTGGGGCTGGCAGCAGGCTCAGCCCTGTACTTGCTGCTACTCAGTTACTACAAGGAAGATTTTATTTCCTTTATGTTGCCTTTCAAAAAGCATATTACAAGGTGCAGGGGTATGCTGTATTGCTGTATGCAAGAAATACAGTATTGCCAGTTGCCAAAGAAGTAAGAATGGTTTCACTGCTCCTAGTCTCAAATATCTACATCCCTTTCCTAAGAAGGTGCCTTTTTTTGGTGGATCAGTATGACAGGAGGGAAACTTCTGGATGTATGGGAGAAAACTATTGTTTCAGATATGGATTCCTCACTTTACTGATCCCATAAGAGTGATTTATTTCTCACATGCCAACATGCATCAAGCAACATGTTTCAGTCTGGCTGCTGTTCTCCCCCTTCCCCAAATTTAGAAAGTGCAGTTATTGCCTGTTACCCTAACAGGTCAACAAAATAAAGCATGATGTTGATGGTATGGTTACAGCACACTTAAATTTCACACTTAAATTTGTCTGTCTTTTACCAGGCTGGGTTTGGTTATGGTTTGCCCATATCACGTCTGTATGCACAGTACTTCCAAGGAGATCTGAAGCTGTATTCCTTTGAAGGTTACGGTACAGATGCAGTTATCTACATAAAGGTAGAGTTTACCACTTTACCTATTTTAATTGTAGTAAATTTCTTTGCCATATCTTTTTGTGGCAACCAAATGGCATTGTTTCATTAATTAAACTAGAATGCCTAATATTCGCTCTGGAAATTATTCTGAGCTCTGCATTCTCCTCTGTTTATAGGCTTTGTCAACGGAATCAATTGAAAGGCTCCCTGTGTATAATAAATCAGCTTGGAAACATTATAAGGCAAACCATGAAGCAGATGACTGGTGTGTGCCAAGCAGTGAACCAAAGGACATGACCACTTTCCGAAGTATATAGTTGTGTCTGGAAAAAATAAACATACCTTTGTTTTCAAGGGACTATACACAGCTGGGTTATATCAAGTATTTGAACCATATTTGGTGTATAAAGATCATTTTTAGTATGGAATAATACAAAATTGAATTCAGTAATTTGTCACAACTGTTTTAAGGAGTTAGATTTGCTTTTGTCAAATTAGCTAACTAAGTGCACACTTCATTTGCTCCTCCTGGTACCTTCAATTGACTTCAGTAGCTAAAACTGGGAAGCAGTAATTTCTAGGTTTTGGAGGGACCAAATGTACTACTTGCACACCTGGTTTGAATTGTACAATTCATAATTAATAATGTTTCCATTAGGTGAACACTGGTCAGAGAAGATATTTCATTTTATTATGTACTACTGAGTGAAGAAGTTCTTAAGTGATGTGAATACTGATGTATGAAACAAAAGTGTGTAAGCAGTGGTCCCCAAGTTTCACTGGCCCATGGGTGACAATACTGGGCAAGTAACATACTGGAGGCAATCAGTGATGTAACTGAGGTGGGGCAACCATCCTGTACACTTGATGTGGGGGGGAGGGGCCAAGAAAAAGGTGGCTGCTATTGGCAACTATGAGGTTGCAGTTGCAGTGACAAGTGGAAGTTGTCGTTGCCCCCATGCCATGGGTGTCTGGTTGTGTGCCTATGCTACTGCTGGCACTATATTTTGCTTATTCTTTCTCTCAACCTGTTTTTATTCTTTTTAACTTCCTGTGGCTGAGAGTACTGGTGAAAGGCTTCATGGATAATATGTTGCCTCTAACCATGCCTTGGGGACCACCAAACTAAAGTTTTTAATAAATTTATGGAATACACTATAATTTTTGCACTTACATAGCACCTTCTATCCAGTGAGCCTAAATATGTTGTGAACCTGAATTTAGTAAAATTTAACAATTTTTTAATATTTAATATAGCAATTTCAGTAGAAAATCATGTGTTTCACTGATTTCTGTAGCTATCTGAACATAAATTTTACATAAGGCAAGAAGTAGCAGAAACATTCCGTTTGTCAAAGTAGTACCTATAAGCTAAACTACTCTCTGGGTATACCTGTTTGCAGCTTGGATACGCTTATATCTCAACTCTGGAAATTACAACTCTAAATTGGATTTTTGTAAAGAAGAAAAAGCATAGCAGTAGTCACTGATAATCATCTCAGGTATGTAGTACCAGTTCTTCTGGTATGACTGTGTTTGACTATTTGAATGACCATATTGGGCGCCTGTATACACCACAGGTTTTAATCCTCATTAAGTAGGTTTATAAAATTTAAACTTGTTAATTTTGGAGCGTTGAATCTGTATTTACATGGATTATGTTTTCAAACGAATTAAGCCGGGTCCTTGGCCAGCAACACAGGAGAGTAGGATGGTCCAGCGCTGCCCTGCCAGCGTGGGGCCCCCCCACTCACCCCATGCCCGTCCCTTCCACACAGCTGTAGAAGCAGGGAGCTGGCAAACCACACATGCACAAAAAAACCCTGTGTCCAAGGAGTGTTACTTTTAAAAAGCGGAAACAATTTGAAAGCAAAAGCAATTCGAAGGGGTGAACTATAAAAAAAAAAAAAAAAAAAAAAAAAAAAAAAAAAAATTGCCAGTGCCATCTGGTGGATAAAGGCTCATTACACATCTTTGAGTACCCTTGTGTTGGCATGTAACAAATCCATGGATGCAATGCTTTAATTCCCAGCGAGCCAAACTAAACTACGTCTAAGGAGTTTTAGTTTAATGCACAAGAAAGACTTTTAAAGTGTTGGGAAATTCCACTCACGCAAACAGACAAGCAGTTGCAGCGCATGAAAGGGCAAAAATTGTGGTGTGTACATGAGCCCATTATGACGAATCTTATGAGACAAATTAGTGTAATGAATATGACACCTCTGTATGTTACTGGAATATGTTAACCTGCTTCTCAGGAGCAGTTAAAGAATTCAAGAAAACTTGTGTTTTGATATGTCAAAACATACCTAGTACCCAGAACTTCTGGTCTTATTCTGGTCATACGGAAAGCAGAACTTGTCCTCCAGGCAAGTAAAGGGATATTATCGAAACAATGTATTAGACTGTGGGGGAGGGAGGATGAATCAACCTCTGAGGACTATGACAAGGTTAGTAGTTTTCTTGCTGCTTGGTTCAAATCGCATCTCAGTTCTATACATACTTTCACTGAATCCTCTCATTCTGGAAGCTTTCAAGGAGGATGCAGGAAAGCACTTGCTTAAAATTCCACCTCCTTACCTCAAGTGATCTAGCAACTCAGGGGCTGGCAACTTTACTAACCATAGACTATCCCTTGAGACTCAGCTTTGCTCTGTGGGCTGCCCATCTCCTGCTGTGGCCTGGTTGTTTCTGCTGTGTGTAAGTTGGCTGATCTCTACCCCTTGCCCACCCAAAAGCAGCCTCCTCTGAAAGACACAGCAAGGGACAGTTTAATTTAGTGAGCAGAGGCTGCAGTGTGGAGGGGAGAGCAGCCCTCAACATGGAGCTGAAAAATGCAAAGACTACCCCCTCCACTGCAAGAGCCAGCAGCAAGGGATTAGTCAACTACTAGTAAAATGAGGAATATGGAATCTGGGCCAGATGTGGCAGACTGTAATGGGTTATCGGTGTACTGTTAGCAAAACGCAGATGATCCACCGTAGGTTGTAGACTCTTGCTTGAATCCAAACTATTAGTCTGGGGTGCTGAGTTGAAATGTTCACATTTATTCAGCTGTTAACACCCTCTTGGCTCAGGATAGGTCAGAGGAGGGTGACACGTATCGGTCTGTCTGATCCCAATCACTGGATTTCTTGTTGCACACCTCAAAGAAGCGGCTGGAACTGTAACATTGTAGGCTAGTGCTGTGCGAGATGGCTTTTGTTGCTTTAGCAAGACGAATCTCCCTTACCATGATGTGAGAAGGTGAAGTGTTTGAGGCATAATGCCTTTTCATTGTAGTGCCATCTCAGAGACCAGGTGTAAAGCCTGTTTCCTGCTCAATGCCCAATACAATTGAGTGCCTAGACATGAGAAGCAAGGCTGTTCTCATGTCTATCTCAGACTTGATTAGAGTCTGCTGTAGTGTAGTAATTACTGCAACAGCCTCCAGTGTCTTGTGTATCAGCGTCCCTGTACTCAAAAATGGTGGTGGGGGCACTTTACCTAAAGCTCATTCAAGATAAGTGGTGGGGGGAGGGGGTGCTTTAAGCTGGTTGACACTTATACATGAGGTGCTCTGGGCACTTCAATTAAAGCAGCTTCTGCTCTAATTAAAGACTTCTGCCCCACCTCCCAGAGCATGTGTATAAACACCCATTAGGGCTGTGCAAGAAAGCACTCAGCCAGAAAGATGCAATTGGGGCCCAACATTTGTAAAATTTAAAGGAAGTATTTTGTACCTGTTACTTTTGACAACCTTAAAGCTAAAAGGATAACTTAAAAAAAATGAAGTACACGTTTTAAGGCTGAACACATTTTATACTAGTTCTGAAAAATGTTAAAACAAATATCATGATTCAAGAATTAATTGACCTGACTTGAGTAGCATTTAAGGAAAAGTGCAAGATATGTTTTTAAAGGTAAGGGTATTATAGTCTGCCTCTTATGACTGTCTGTCCAGCACATATGAGTATGTGGGGTTACAGAAACTGAAATCTTTGCTTACATCCCTGCTATGTAGGAGCTTGAGTTTGCGTTACTGAAGTAAAAAAGCAGGGCCTTAAATCAACTTTTGTATATAGATATTTCAGTAGTTTTCTCCTGTAATGATTATGGTGGAAATAAAATTATTGTAATCTTCATTTTGTTGTATTTACTTCTGGTCATGAGAGTTGAGTTTTAATTAAGCAGTAGTTTGAGCAGTAGCTTTTGTACATTATTGTACTAAAAGAATTCATTCACTGCTGCAGGCTGGTTAGAAGTTGCAAGAGGAAATGGACAATTATACTTCACTAATCTTGCACTGTGAAATTAATTTGTGTGTGTGATGAAACAAAACTTTTAATGCAATACCTTGGAATGAAGCAATAAATTTGTTCAACAGTTGATTCAGTTTATTAAAAAGAGAGTTGATTTCTTTGGGAGCTTGGGGAGAGAAATTATGGGACACCAGCCTACCAACATCTTTCCATTATTCATAACCAGGGATCCTGGTTTTCCCTGATTAAAAAAAACAGCAAATTTTCTGATAAACCCCCTAAAATGCATTATTAAAATGAAAGGCCCTCCCTAACCCCTGCCCCCAACCTGCTTGTGCCCCTCACTCCATCCCCACAGCCTTGCTGATACCCCTCGCCCCCATACACAGCTCCAGCCCTGCCAGAGGTGACCTCCAGCTGCCAGGGGGCAGCAGCTGCTGCCGTGGAGCAGAGCAGAGCCTGGCTTCCCCTTTGCTGCCTTCCTGCTACAACCTTGGATGGGATGGGGAGTAGCTCCCTACCACTGTGCACACTCCTGGGGGAAACCCATGCCTCCCCTATCTGTGTATGGGGCAGGGTGTGCTGTCTGCTACAGGCTCAGGTTCCCACCCTGCACATGGTGTGCCCCCTCCCTGACCATCCTCCTGCTCCCTGCCAGCCTGCAGAGGGTTTGTTGCAAAACTGCAAGATCTGTGGGTTTCTCTGCTAAAATGAGAAATCTGTGTTTTACTCTATTTTTCTGTGGGAAACAAGAAAACCTGGAATCCTGATTATAACAGCTCATCATATTCAATTTTTTTTTGTCAATGATAGACATGTTTTCTTTCAAAGGACACCTAAGACAATGCAGTCAAGATAGGTAAATATATGATGAATGTACTGGCCCCAGTTTAACTGTTAAAAGCACTGCAAAGACAAGCTTTTGAAATTTGCAAGTGAGGTAGTGTCAGACAAGGTCCTCAGAGGTGTGATGAACACATCTTGGGCACTGTGAAACTTTCAGCTCCCAAACATGACACATCAGTCTATTCCCTTCCAAACCACTTCATTCTGTGCACCTACCATCAACAACCATAAGCTATGGGATACAAATAGCCTCTCCCCACACAAACTCTGACCAAGCTTTCCCTTTTTCAGCAGTACAACTCTTCCACCTTTGATCACTGAAAAGGTGGACATGAATCCATCTACCTATAATTAACTAATCTATAGGAGTTAAACCTTGGCAAAGAAAAAGCAATTTTCTTAGTTAAAACACAGAACTAAAAACACAGAAAAGCCATTTAGTAGAAACACACATGACCATTTTTTAAAAACTTTATTTTGGAAGCGAGTGGTGTGCAGGTAGATTTCCATATGGTCCTTTCTCAGAATGTAGAAGAGGTAATTTTCCATACATATTACAAAAACACTGAATGTCAGATGATAGTCATTCATTTGATTAAAAATGAAAAAACATTAATCATATATTTAAAGGAGAACTTGGTCCACGTAACTGGAATTCTAATTTTTTAATTTCAGTAATTCTAGATTTAACTTCTATTCCATGATGGAATTAGCACTTTTATTCCATTATTTTTGTGAAACAAAAACTAATTAGGGAATTGCTTATGTAATATTTCTAGAACATATGTCATTACACAAAAACACATCCAATCATGTTCTAAGCTATTCCAGGAATCAAATCCTCCTTTAAAAAAAACCAACCAAACATTCTATAGTCTACGATCGAACAATTAAATACGATACCAAAACCCAGTGCTTCATTGATAAATTTTCCTACAAAGCTCATCTGAGTATTTGAAGTCTGGAAACAGTATTGTTTAAAATTAGCAAATATATAAATTTGGTCCCCAAAATCTTATGCTGAGTAGAAAAGAGAAATACACACATTGCAAACTGATCTTATTCATAGCATAAAACTATAAAACTATGTATTACTTAGGAAAAATACATAAAAAATTGATCTTTTATTTATATGTTTAAACCTTGTTCCACCACCCTATCATGTAGCTTGCAGAGAGGACTTAGTGTTATGCTTAACACAAATAGTTTGTGAAAACTACTTATTTCTGAATACTTCTCAGTAAGTTGCAACACGTGAAGTTAAAAAAAAAATTTCAATGCATTACCAAAGTAGATTTTGAATTTAAAAAAAAAGGACTATGACTGGGAAAATAAAGATTTTTTAAAGAGAATACTTTGAAATACATGCTCTGTTTAAATTAATTTGACATTATGGTTTTCTTAAACTTATTTTTTCACTATACAATTTTAGTGGCAACAGAAACAGCAGACTGTTGTAGACTGAATTTGGTGGCAGGATTTTTCTATTGTCCCTCTGTCAGATTCAACCTGCTATTTATACTCAAATGCCAGAGTAGTAACATATTATAGCCTATTTCTTTACATGTCATATCCCAATTTATTTATGAATTTCAACGAATGTTTCAGAGTGTATGGTGTTTTCTACAGATCAGACAGAAGCACAAACAGTACTTAAGGCAGGAAGTTAAGTTACTGTCTATTAGTACAGGCAGAAACAACTAGATGTAAAAAATACTGAAATCATTACTTTGTTTTAATGGAACGTAATGGGGAGGGACTAAAGAAATTAAAAAAGGTAAATAAAAACCTATCATGTTAAACTGTTGCACTTTCACTCTTT